TATAGTAATTTTATAAGAAAACATAATAACCAATAGTATTTCATTAATAAAACATAATCCAGTAATCCAAATCAAATAAAATTGGTACCATTCGACTCCTCTCCTCGAGGAATTTGAATGGTACCAAAATCATCTAATTTGGACTACTGGATCAAATTTTAGACAAATTCTTATAAAAAAATTGTGTTATATTTTGGGGACCTTTTCTAAATATTAGAAAATCGTTATATTTTGGGGACCCCCTCTCTTTCCTCAAACATAATATTATTTATGGATGCCCCCTAAAGTTAGCTTACTTATAAAATAGATATGAAATAAATATGTGAGTTTTATATCTAATAAAGTATTGGCATGATTGCCAAAGTTTTTAAAAAATATATATATTTACTGTAAAATCTCGAAATAGTAGGCATGGGTGTTATTTAAAAACTTGGCCTGAATTAAACTTAATTTGGGCCAAGTTTCAAAATAATGCCCATGCCTGCTATTTCAAGATTTTACAGTAAATATATATATTTTTTTTAAAAAAAAAAATAAAGATCTTATTATATTAATAATATTATAATCTTTTTTATTTAGGTACTTTTTTTTGAATGTTTTATTACTAGCTGCAAGTAAATTTAATATAGGTTCTAATTTTTTCCACTTTATAAGCATATAATAGGTAGAATTTCACCTAGTCTTAGTATCAATTTCAGGTGCCAGATAGGAAATTTTTTTTATATTGCAAAATCCTTTTAGAGTATTTCTAGTTGGTTTTGACAATTTAATATATAATATTAATACTCTTATTTTTTGATCAATTCATTAACATGTTCAAACCTACAATCAACTACAAGATTTAAAATATGGGCAACACATCTATAATATAAAATTCAAGATTATCAAATTCTTGTTTAAGTTCTTCTATTATTAATTCACCACAGACAATCATAGATAAAGCATTGTCTGTGATAAGTGCTAAAGTTTTTTTTCTAGGCCAAATTCGTAAAGAATATTCATAATAGTACTAGCTATATTTAACTCTGTATAGTGCACTTCCATTAGAATAATATCTAAGAGAAAACTACTTAGTTTTCAAGATAAATTAACATAATAAATTGTTAAACTAAGAAATGCAGAACCATTTGAGGCAGACCACATATCAAAGATAAATGATATTTTTTCAGAAACTTGTGAAAGTATTAATTTTATTTGTTTTTTTTATTTTCAAATAGATTCATAATTCAATTCTTTTCTGTATGATGATTATGAAACTAATAATGTGAATCAAATTTTTTAATTATCTCTTACCATTCTTTACATTCAATTACACAAAAAGACTGCAAATCACATAATATCTATTTTGTAACCACATTATCATGTTCTTGATATTCTTCCTTTGTATAAGGAGTATAATAATTTTCATGTACAGAGATATTTTTAGATTGTTTTGGTACTTTAATACCATATAATTCTAGATGCTGTGCTAATGTTGAGGTTGCTGTTTTATTTCTAAATTTTGGTTTACATTTTTTATATATTGGCTCTTTGGCTTTATTTTTTTTAAAATAGGGCCACCAGGTGAGAATTCTTTTTTTCTTTTTTTTTTGAGGTTGACAATTAATATTTTTATTTAAATTTGATAAATCACTTTCTTGACTATCTTGAGATTTGCCAATTTCATTATTATCCTTCTGATCAATCAAACAATCTGAAAAATTGATATTTGTATTATCTTTCTGATCAAACAAACAATCTGGAGAGTTGATATTTGTATTATCTTCTTAATCACAGGTAAGAAGGTTATTAATTGTATACATTGTAATTATAAAAAAACAATATATAACTATTATGGCTCAATTCTTAATTTTTATATTAAATTTTATAAGATGATGATTAATTACATTTATCATGCAAATAATAATAATAATAAAAGTAGTAATTAAAACATAATTTCATTTTATATTTTTGTAATAAAAATCATTAATAATATTATTCAAAATAATTGAATATTTTATATATTAATTACTTATTTCTAATATGAATACATGGTCTAAAACTATATTAAAGACTTATACAGGCCAATCTAAAATTAAAATTATTGTAATAATTAAAGTACAGACAGATTTATTATTGCTGTTTTCGATTTACCTGAAATTGATCGATTTGTGATACAAAAAAAAAAAATTTTGAGTCCCGTGAGTCCGTGAGTTCGCATTTATACATATACTCTGCATGATCAACAATTGCCCATTACTATTATCATACGTATATACCCCTTATATACAACAATTGTGTTGTAATTGTTACTCTTTAGCAGTTTTATACATATAAAAATTGTATATATATAACAAATATTTATATATAAGCGAAATTGTATATAATAAATATTTATATGTAAACAAT